AGTTTCTCAGGATCCACATAAGAGAAAAATAAACTTTAAAACAAAAAAAACTGAAGAAAAGAAAGAGGCCCTGGTGTGCCTTGGGAGAAGGGTGGCAGTGTGGTCGTGTAGGCGTGCTGACATGAGTAACCTGCTCATCAGAACCTTTGGGGCCACATGGGGCATCACTTAAATAGCAATTGAATGCTACTGGGCACACTCAACGTTAGCATAGGTGTGTCATATGGCACCCAGTGCATGATGGGTACATGGCCACTAGGGGTCCTACAGCCTTGTGTTTATTCCCCGCTAAGGCCTACTGACAAGGCCAGAGTTATTTCTAATTAAGAGGATGGCAATTCACTGAAGTAGAGTGGCTGTACTCCAAAACTCTAGGTCTTGCATTGTGATTGTTCTTTTAGACAACTGCCACAGTCACATGGAGAATTACAGGGTCTCCTAGGTCTAAAGGGGCGAGTGGCAGAGCTCTATGCACTTAGTTTGGACTCCCTAGAGAATATTCTTCTTGCTTAGCTCTGCTGGAAGCTGCTAGGTTTTCAAATCAACTGATAATATGTGCTAAATCACAACAGCCTGTGTGGTGCAGGCTCCCTCCAAAATGGGAAGAAATCCTCTGAGATTTGCCCATCCTTAGAGGGAGGGCAGAGAGTTCTCATGCACTTTGGAGGAAATATAATGACATATCTTAGCCTGTTGAACCTCAGCAGTTCATTGATGCAGCGGCCCCTTCGTTTTTCAGTTTCTACTCTTTGTCATGCTTGTACCTTACAAGACCTCTAGTGTACTATTATAGTGCCTTTCTCCATGTCCTTTCGGTATAAAGTCGTCAAAGAAGTGGGCCAGCAGGGTGCCCTGTGGGATGTGTAGCTCCCGGTGGAAGGGATTCTGGCCCAGAGCTGGAGAGCTGCTCTAGCCTCAGGCAGGTCAGCAAAGGTATATTACTGCCCCTACTAGGTGAAAGCTGCATGTTTCTGGTGCTGTCTGTGTATTGAAATGGAGCAAAATGCATTTACTAAGTAAATACCCCACAGTTGAAGTACTTTATTAATTCACACCACCGAAGAAGCCACCATATATGGTTTTCTTTTCTTTTCTTTTTTTTCATATATGGTTTTCAACTGGAGTTACTGCTGGATCAGGTTTGTTATAATGGATGTCATTCTCCATTCTCTTGACTCAGCAGATCTATGCTTTAACATTCACATTCTGTCACCAGTGTGCTTTTGACTTTGGGCAGAATACTGGCCTCCACTAGGTTCCAGTTTCCCTGTCGGTATAGTAAGCTGTATGATCTACAGTGAGCTTAAGTCACTGTGTGACAGCACTTCCATGCTCAATATCAGGAATCTCAGAGCCGATGCCTCCTCACTGACATTTCTATTGCCTGCTCCCTGGTTTGCAGTCTGTCCCACTGAGTGAGGCCTGGGCCATCAAGCCATCCTAAAAGTTCTTTTCAGAACTTTATGACTCTATAATACATGGAAGAAAATGTGAGGGGACTGTACTTGGCTTTCCATGCATCCCTTCCCTTACTCTGAAAGTCCCTGCTCTTCTTCTCTATGGTTTAATTGTGTCTAAGAAATCAGATGTTAGGCCCCTCATTTTACAAAGGAGTAGGAAGAAAGCAATGCTTAATCTGAAGAGATAAAGCCGTAAGATGCAAATTTTGCACACTGTGGTGCAGGCAGAAAGGAGAGGGACTTCAGGTATCTTGGGAGATGGGTGTGACAATATGCCCCAGGTAGTCTGTAGGCACAATGGCTAATGGACATTTCCCTTCATGTAGCTTAGACTCCTTGACACGGCTCACACATGGTCACACACAGGTCTGATCAGGGCTGGCTGGGGCTGCAAAGAGGGATCCCCAGGGAGAGTTCTGCTAGACTGAACATGAGCCTCTCTTACCTGTATTCTACTTTCCCCCCAGGAAGAAGTCCCTCCTGTTGAATAATATCTTTGTGGTGGCCACAGTGACCCTGTTTGGCTTCAGCCACAGACCAGGCTCCTTTGAGATGGTCATGCTGGGAAGGCTGCTCTTGGGAGTCAGTGCAGGTATGGGGGGAGGGCAGCCCATCCTGCCTCTCTCTTCCTGCTCATTCGTGTATTCCATTTATTCATTCATCTGTTCTCTTTATTTCTTTCATCCATTCATGTATTCTCTTTCTTCACATTTTTTTCAACATTTATGTATTTTTTGGGACAGAGAGAGACAGAGCATGAACGGGGGAGGGGCAGAGAGAGAGGGAGACACAGAATCGGAAACAGGCTCCAGGCTCTGAGCCATCAGCCCAGAGCCCGACGCGGGGCTCGAACTCACGGACCGCGAGATCGTGACCTGGCTGAAGTCGGACGCTTAACCGACTGCGCCACCCAGGCGCCCCCTTCACATTTTTTTAAATGTTTATTTATTTTTGAGAGAGAGAGAAACAGAGAGACAGAGCACAAGCAGGGGAGGAGCAGAGAGAGAGGGAGACACCGAATCCGAAGCAGGCTCCAGGCTCTGAGCTGTCAGTACAGAGCCCAATGTGGGGCTCAAACTCACGAGCTATGAGATCATGACCTGAGTCGAAGTTAGATGCTTAACTGACTGAGCCACCCAGGCTCCCCATTCACATTTTTCATTCAAGCCCACCTCTTCTTTTGCAAAATGATTAAATATGGTTTCTCTTAAAAAGGCTCATATAAGTAGACACTTAAAGTGGATATAGAAACATGAAAAAGTTTCTAAAACTCACACAGGGTGTGAGTACAAACATACCCAAACCTATGCTGACAGAGTTCCCATATTTGAGCCATACTTTAAGCCATGAGCTTCCTGGCAGCCAAGGTACAAAGGATGCATTCTTGGGTTTTCATTACAGAGGCAGAGTAGGCTGTTAGGGACTCCTCAGTTTCTGGGGTTTGTCATGTGAGGAAGCAGAGTTTTGAGCACATCCACCTGGGTGTTTAGGGATACCCATCAACAAATCCCCTCTTGACTCAATACTGTTTATATGGCCAGGTGTCTATGTCTATATTAGTTATCTATTCCTATGAAAGAAAATACTCTGAAACTTACTGGTTGTGCACACATCTAGGTGTGAGCATGAATGTCCAGCCCATGTACCTAGGGGAAAGCGCCCCCAAGGAGCTCCGAGGAGCTGTGGCCATGACCTCAGTCATCTTCACTGCCCTAGGGATTGTGATAGGCCAGGTGGTTGGACTCAGATAAGCAACCTGCCTCCATGTGCACTGAGTGGTTTGAGGGGTGCCAGTAAAAGCCCTTCGCCTAACTTTCTCCTCTATCCATTAAGTATTAAGGCATTGCTTCTTTGTATTAAGAAATCTTTGTATTGAAATCCTGTCTACACCTATCTGGCCAATACATAAAACAGGTGTTAGTCAACCACACTTCAGTGTAAATCACCATTTTGCATCCTCTCCAGATCAGGGAGCAAAGAACAGATCTTAAAAAGGGAGAGGGTGAAGATTTGGGCTTTTAAAGGGGAACGTGTCCTGGTCATCCCAGAAAAGAGGGGAGAGGGCAGATCCCAGAGCCCTGGGAAGAGGAGTTGCTACAGATAAGGTGGAGCCAACACCTGGAGGGAGGGATCTTGGTGTCCAGACCCAGAACTGGTTTGAGGAAACAGAGAGCAATGCAGATCCTCTGCCTTCAGGAGGGCAAGCAGGGGCCAGGTGGGTGGGTCTGGGGAGTAGGGGGCAAGTGGCCAGGGCTCTGGCAAGAAAGTACCTGGCCCAGCCTCTCTTTTGCCTCCCCAGGGAACTCCTGGGGGACCCACAGGCCTGGCACCTGCTGCTGGCCAGCTGCCTGGTGCCTGGGGTGCTCCAGCTTGCCTTCCTCCCTCTGCTCCCTGAGAGCTTGCGCTACCTCCTCATTGACCGTGGAGACATGGAGGCCTGCCTGGCAGGTGAGTCCTTGTGTTCCCAGACCACCCTTGACAAATGGGCACATCTGTCCAGAGCATGTGAGTCTCCATTTCTTGGGTTTCATTTATCAGGAAAAAGCTGTCCCTCCTTTTTTGACAACCATTCATCTCTTCAAAACTATTTACCAAGGGGTTGTCCTGAGTGCCAAGGCAGTGGGATAGAGCAGACCTGAACCCTGCCATCCAGGAACTGTAGGATGGTGCCAATAAAGATCCCCCCGCCCCCGCCCCGCCATATATGTAAGATGAAACATGTTAAGACCTCACAGACCCAAGGCCAACTGGGTGCTGATGGGCTTATTCATTAGCTATGGCCATGATAGTGATGCCCAAGGAACAATACCAAATCTCTGGCTTAAAACAATAATCATTTACTGCATCCTCCACCCACTTACTTGCTGGGCTGGCTGCATGACTGCTGATCTCAGCTGGGCCAGCTCATGGTGTCTGGGAATCAGCTGGAGGTCAGCCAGTCCAGGCTGGTCTGGGCTGGAGTAGTTTAGCTCTGCTGCACATGACTTTCCTCTCACTCTTAGTACCAACAAGCTAGCCCAGGAATGTTCTTATTACAGCGACAGCAGAGGCACAAGAAAGCAGATCCAATTGCACAAACACTTTTCAAACCCATGGTCCACCCCCCACCCCATGCGCATTAACATCCCATTGGCCAAAGAGAGTCCTGTCCCTGAACCCAAAGTCAAGGGATGGGAAAATCAATGGCATATCCTCTCCCATGGCAAGGGGTATAGATTTGGAGAAGGGTGAAGACCAGGGCCCACTCAGGCACCCTCTCAGCTTGCCGTTGTGGCCACAGCTATTATTGATATCCCTCCCCTGTGCAAAACATGCTCAATGTCATCCAGGACCCCACAGTCTCATCCAATCATGGTGTCAGTCTTGAAGTCCAGGATCTTAAGATCACATCAAATCTATATGTGCCTTCTCTTGATCCAGACACCTAGGCACTAAAAACACAAGTCTGCCCCTCTGAACTCAGCACACAATATGAAAGTAGGACAGTGTAACCAGAACTAACCCTCATTCCAAAGACAAGAAGTCAAGGAAGCAGGATGCAGTCACCAATCCTTAATGCCGATGCGCTCTTAAGAAAACGCTGCCAGATCTCCCTGCTTTGGGGGTAGGGAATGTTTCATGATCAAGTCCTGGCTCTGGCCCCTAGGAGGGGCTCCCCAGGTCATGGTTTCCCCAGGTTCTTGCTTCTTCCCTCTCAGATATACTTCCTAGTCACCTTCTGAAGAGGGCATTGCAAATGTACCCACAGGAAGTTGGGCACATTCAATTTGTCTTGGTCCCTTTCTCTCCAGGCTGGCAGAGCGTTTGTAAATATAATTTTCTTGAAACCGATGTGATTTTTCTATGTATTTGATCGATGTGCCAAAAAGCCATACCCACAAGTCTTTCTGAGGCATGCTTCTCTCTTGAGACTCACTTACTGGAATTTGGGGCATGTCGGGAGGCTGGGGACCAACATCCTTAAGCCTTCTAAATGCCTCTTTTTCCATTGCAGTGAGTCACTGCATTAAGCCACACCCTTAATTTGATTGTTGCCCTGCGTCCATGACTCACTGGCAGTGCTCTGGATTTGATCTTTGCTTTCAGGCTGTCACTTAATGTGAGCCTCTTTTTGCTAACTGGAGAGGCTGGAGATAAGCAACAGGTTTATTTTGTTTGTTTGTTTTTTTATTAAACCAACCTAGTGAGTTCTGGAACTAAATCTTTTTCCCTCTGAAGGTTTTTTGAGCTCATGTTTCAATATAGTAAGCTTAGAATACTCAGCTAACAGCAACCAGTTCATGTTTTCAACATATAGAGGTTTCTTCACTCCAGTCCAGAAGTTCATTAGGTCTGTTTGTTTGTGTTTCTTTATTTTCTTCCACACTACTGCCCTGAATACCCAGGCTTCCATTTTTCCAGCCTCCTCACCATCTTCTGCCTGGTCTTGGAATCGATGCCATAGATCACAGGTCTAGTATGGTAGCACCTACTCCTGGTACCAGTTAATTCATTAGTTTTGTATTGCTGCCTAATAATCACATTCATGGCAAACCAAAGAAGCAATTACTTAGCTCAAGTGTCTGTGAGTTCTCTGGGGTTGGCTGATATAGGCTGTGCCTAGCTGGTGGCTCTGCTGGTCTTCGTCACTCATTCAGGTCAGCTGGGCACTGGCAAAGTTAGGACAGTCTCAGCTGGGCCATTTCTGCTCCTCCTGGGACCAGTGGGCTAGCCCCATCTCATGTCTTTATGGTGATGGGAGAAAAGCAAGTAGAAATGAGCAAGGTCTCTTAAGGCTTGGGCAGAAATTTGCATATCCTCCTTACAACCTCATTCTATTGGCCAGAGTGAGTCACATGGCACAGCGCAGTGCCAAGGAGCAGGATGCATACTTGCCCCTTTTGTGGGGGCAGCTACAAAAATCACCTAGCAGAGAGCATAGATACAGGGAAGCGTGGAGAACTGGGGACATTGCATAATTGTCATCTGCCACAATTGTGTCCCCTCTGATGTATCCACAGAACCCCCAGCTCCTAAAGCCTTTTCTGGTTCTTGATGCCCTGAAATGACAGGGACAGGAAGATCATCCCCATCTGATCAGGGGGACCCAGAGAGAGAGTGAACGGAGCTGGGGTGGGAGCTCACTGCAGGGCACCAAGCAGAGGTTGGGGGAAATGAGGCCCAGCGCCCTCTGCCCTTGCATCCTGCTCTAGCGCTGCAGCGGCTACGGGGCACCACGGAGGTGGCGGAGGAGTTGGCTGAGCTGGAAGAGGAGCGTATCTTCTGCCAGGGCCGACGCGCCCTGCGCCCATGGGAGTTGTTCCAGGATCGCGGGCTGCGGAGACAGGTGACAAGCCTCATGGTCCTGGGCAGTGCCTTGGAGCTTTGCGGAACCAACTCGGTGAGGCTCCCCGCAGCATCCTTCAACTGGTTGGGGGTGGGAGGGCTGCAGACCACAGGCAGCTGGCAGCCCACCCCTCTGCCCCCCTGTCCAGGTGTACGCCTACGCCTCCTCCGTGTTCCGGCAGGCCGGGATCCCCGAGGGGAAAGTCCAGTATGCTATCGTGGGGACTGGGAGCTGCGAGCTGCTCGTGGCCTGCGTCAGTGTGAGTTTATCTGAGTTTGTTGTGGGCTCAGGGGTTGACCCTCCACCAGCCCTGTGGGGGTGGGGGTGCATCGGGTGCTGACACCTGGAGGAGTGTCTTCTATCAAGTCCTCTACCTTGGGCCCTTTCCCACTCCAGTTCACTATGCTCAAATGGGGCAAGTCAGCAGCATTTGAAGTTTATTTATTTATTTATTTATTTATTTATTTATTTATTTATTTTGAGAGAGAGCACGAATAAGGGAGGGGCAGAGAGAGAGAGGAGAGAGAGAGGGTGAGAGAGAATCCCAAGCATCACAGAGCTGTCAGCACAGAGCTCAATGTGGGGCTGGAACCTGCAAACCTTGAGATCATGACCTGAGCCGAAACCAAGAGTGGGTGCTTAACCCACTCAGGTCCCCCCTAATAATGTCTTAATCTCCTGAAGCAATCAACTGCTCCTAATTGCTCCCTCACACACACCTGGAGCTGCCCACTGCTGGCCTTTAAACCAAAGGAAGCATGCTTCCAGCGCACAGGTCAGTTACTGAGAGCTCCTTTCCTTTGCAGTGTGCAGTGATCGAGATGGTGGGCCGCCGGAACCTGCCGATAGCGGGGTATGGTCTGATGGCCTGCTGGGGAAGTATCTTTACAGTGGCCCTGTGCCTGCAGGTAGTGGGGCTGGGCATGAGGGTTGTGGCTTGGGGCAGCCTGGTCTCCACCTCACTCCACCCCCTCTGCCCCTTTGCTGCAGAGCCCCCTCCCCTGGATGCCCTACCTGGCCATGTTCTGCGTCTTTGCCCTCATCCTCAGCTTTGGCCTTGGCCCTGGTGAGTGGGCCCAAGGAGCTCTGCACTTTGGGCTTTGCCAAAGGAACACGAATGTCTTCACGAATGACAAGTGGCTATAAATGCAATGTCACCCGCATGCCCTGCCACCCAGCCCCCCTGTACTGGGGCTTCTGGGAGGGAATGGCTGGAGAAGAGGACAAGGGGCCCCCACTCCTATGTCGGGGACAAGGTGGCAGCCCTGGCTGGCAGCCCCTGTCCCTGCTCTTCCTTCTAGCCGGAGTGACAGGGATTCTGGCCATGGAGCTCTTTGACCAGAAGGCCCGGCCTGCTGCCTCTATGGTCTGCCGGGTGCTCATGTGGACCATGCTCTTCCTGGTCGGGCTGGGGTTTCCCTTCATCATGGTAGGCACCCTCCCCACCCTTCCCTTGCCTTAGGTTTTCCCCTGTGTCTGCAGGAGAGCCCCAGTGGGAAGTCTCCATCCTGGGAGCCTGAGGCTGGAGGGGATGGGACTCAAAAAGAGGGACAAATCCCTCATCATGACCTGTCATGTGGCCTTATGTCTGGTCCTGAACAGGGCACACACCAGGTCTCAGAGACTCTTTTCACTCACAGGGGGGCTTGTCCCACTTTCTTTATGTGCCTTTCCTGGGTGTTTGTGTCTGTGGGACCATCTGTACTGGCTTCTTCCTTCCCAAGACCAAAGGCAAGACCTTCCTGGAGATCTCTGAGGAACTTCACAGACTCAACTTCCCTAGGCAGAGCTAGGGCCCTGAGTGGCTGGGCCCGGCAGTCATCCAGGCCACAGAGCTGTAGTTCTGTAGGTGTGGTGGGCCCCAGATCCAGCGGCAGCTCTCTTCTTTGCTTCCTGCCCAGGGTCCCAGCCCTCTGCGTTCCCTCCTTCCTGCATTCATTTGTTTAATGAGTGCCCATGTAGCACCTACTGCATGCAGGCTTGGTGCTAGGTGCTTAGCAATCCGTGGTGAGCCAGAGAGATGGGATCAGGACCTACTGGTGCTCCCCATCTAGAGGCAGTTAACTAACAGGCAACCAATCAAAACATTATTGCAAACTTGGAGAAATGCAGTAGGAGAAAATACAGATTATGAAGTGAGTGCATACTAGGGAGCCTGGCCTATCTGAGGAGGGTGGTCAGAAAAGAATTTTCTGGGGGTACTTGGCTGACTTGGTCAGTAGAGCATGCAATTCTTAATCTTGGGGTTGGAAGTTTGAGCCCCATGTCAGGTGTAGAGATTACTTAAAAATAAAATCTAAAAAAAAAATTTTTTTTTTCTGAGGAACTGATTTTTTAAAAAAAATCAACGTTGATGGGGCACCTGGGTGGCTCCGTCAGTTAAGCGTCCGACTTCGGCTCAGGTCATGATCTCACATTTTGTGGGTTTGAGCCCCGTGTTGGGCTCTGTGCTGACAGCTCAGAGCCTGGAGCCTGCTTCGGATTCTGTGTCTCCCAGTCTCTCTGCCCTTCCCCCACTCATGCTTTGTCTCTGTCTCTCAAAAATGAATCATGTTAAAAAAAATCAACCTTAAGGTGTAATTTACATGCAGTAAAATGAATCTATATTGAGTATACACTTAATGAGTTTTGGCAGATGTATGTGCCCAAGAAACCACCACCACAATCAAAGTAGAACCTTTACATCATCCCAAAGTCTCCCTCATGCCCCTTTGCAACCAGTAAGCCATCCCACCTGCAGGCCCAGGCCATGATAGGTCACATTGCCTTTTTTGGAGTTTGATATAATTCCACACCATATGTATGCATTTGTGTCCGGTTTTGCTCCAAATAAAGTTTTGGGGATTCACACATGTTGTCACATCATTAGTACATATTCTTTTGTGTTGCTGAGCAATATTCTACTGTATGGATGTATCATAATTTGTTTACCATTTACCTGTCGATGGACATTTTGGGTTGTTTTTGACTCTTGGCCATTCATGAATAAAACTTCTATTAACATTCCTGCACAAGTTGTGTAGACAAATGTTTCATTTCTTTTGGGTAAGTGAATTACTGAGTTTAGTAGCAAATGTATGTTTAGGGGCCCCTGGCTGGCTCAGTCGTTACAGCATGATCTCAGGGTTGTGAGTTTGAGCCCCATATTGGGTGTAGAGGTTACTTAAAAAAAACCCATAGTAAATGTATGTTTAACTATGGGAGGAAAACAAACAAAACAAAACAAAAACTATAGAATAAATTGTCCAAAGTGATTGTATTGTTTTACATCCCCACTAGTGATGTAGAAGAGTTGTGGATGCTCCAGACCCTCACCAACACTTGGTATTGTCTGTCTTCTTAATTTAGGCATGCTGCAGGTGGTACAATGGTGTCTCCTTGTGGTTTAATGGTGGCATTTCCCTGATGACTAATGATTATAATGCTCATCATAATAATGTTGAGTACCTTTTCATGTACTCAATATAGCCATTCATGTATCTTCCCTTGTGAAGAATCTGTTCAAATCTTTTGTCCACTATTAACAACAATAACAACAACAAAACAAAGTTAGGGGCATCTGGATGGCTCAGTCGGTTGAGCATCTGACTCGTGATCCCAGGGTGGTGGGATACAGCCCTGAGTCAGGCTCTTTGCTGAGCGTGGAGTGTGCTTAGAATTCTCTCTCCACCCCCTGCCCCCGTCTCTACCCCTCATCCACTCGTGCTCTTTCTCTCTCTAAAAAAAAAAAAAGTTAAAATTTATCAAAACTTATGCATGCAAACACTTAAAGACCATACATGGTACCATTTGCAGTAGAGAGATATGTAAATAAACATAAAGGTGCAGTATTAAATCATAACTGCATAACATTAACTGTATCACTGTAATGAAAAAAACCTAAAAAATAAAAAGAGCACAACCTCTTTATCTCCTCTTGAGATACAGATGTCCAGTGTGTATGAAGATGAGCCCAGTACTGGAGATGGTGTTTAGCTCTCCTGTTTGTTCCACTAAATTCCAAGGGAGGAGGAGGCTAAATAGGATCTAGACTGTTTCCATCTGTTAGTATTCAGCTTATCAAATCTACAGCCTAGTACTCCTTGAGCAGGACTGCCCCAATAAGGCTGGATGTGTAACAGTCAAAGACGGAGGTGGGAAATATGGAGGATTCAACGTGTACATGCAGTTTAGGCCAACGTCCCCATATGCTCTTTAAAATTCCACTATTTGGGGGCGCCTGGGTGGCGCAGTCGGTTAAGCGTCCGACTTCTGCGTTGTGGTCACTTGTCCTGGAAACAGCCTCAAGGCTATTAGGTTTTCCTGGTTGATGGCTCAGAGCCTGAGCCTGTTTCCATCTCTGTGTCTCTCCTTCTCTGCTCCTGCCCCTGTCTATGCTCTGCTCCCTCTCTCTGTCCCAAAATAAACGCAGTAAAAAAAAAAAAATTAAAAAAAAAAAATAAATAAAAAAATAAAATTCCACTATTTGAAGGCACCTGGGTGGCTCAGTTGGTTAAACATCCAACTCTTGGTTTCTGCTCAGGTCATGATCTCATCGGTTCGAGAGTTTCATCGTCAGCTGCTCTCAACGAGTAATGGAGACTGCTTTGGATTCTCTCTCTCTCTCTCTCTGCCCCTCCTCTTGCTCACCCTCTCTCTCTCTCTCAAAATAAATAAACTTTTAAAAATATATATAAAAAAAAATAGCATCTGGGGCGTCAGTTGGATTGCCTGAATCTGGGTTCGACTTCAGGTCATGATCTCACAGTTTATGAGTTTGAACCCCATGTCTGACTGTGCTATCAGTGCAGAGGCTGCTTGGGATTTTCTATCCCTTTCTGCCCCTCCCCCCTGCTCGTGCTCTCTCTCCCAAAATAAATAAAAAAAAAAATAAGTAAAATAAAATAAAATAAAATAATAAAACAGAATAAAATTCCATTACTTGGTCAGAGTGGGGAGTGGTTTCAGGGTGATGACCCATCTTTGCTCCACCGCTCCTCTGATTTTCCTCTGTTGCTGTTGAAGGAGAGTAGGTTCAGATCATCCAGTACTTGTACCTTTCGGTCTTGGGCCTTTCAGAGTTCACCACAGACATAGGTAACCTCACAGCATCAAGCCCATTTACCAACCCCTCACACCAGTGTCCACCCCACCTAGTGATGAGTCCTCTGGTAACTTTAATACATGTGAGCCCACAGCAACCAGGATTCTTTAAGATATGGAGGGCAGGGGCAGTTGGGTGGCTCAGTGGGTTAAGTGTTCAACTTCGGCTCAGGTCATGGTCTCATGGTTCGTGAGTTCCAACCCCACATCGGGCTCTCTGCTGTCAGCAGAGTCTGCTTCGGATCCTCTGTTCCCTTCTCTCCACCACTCCCCTGCTCACGCTCTCTCTCAAAAATAAACAAACATTAAAAATATTAATTAAAAAAAAGAAAGAAATGGTGGGCAACTATTTCAGGGTTTAGTTCCCATTTGAGGATGTTCTTCATTCCTGCCTCTAGGTGACAGCTTCTTAGAAATGTCATTGTCATCTCACCTGCCCTGCTCTGGATCTTCTCTAACTTTCCTTCTTGTCTCAGCAATTTCTCCTCCTCGGCCAATTTCTTGGTCTCAGGGGATGCATTTACCGCCAGACCTGGAGACAGTAGTCAATTCCCGCCCAAAGATTTCTTCACCAAGTCCAGGTCACTAGTACTCCAAGTCCTCCCACTGACTGTGTGAGGATTAGCTCCAGGGTGTTCTCTCTACCAGCTCGTAGATGCAGTGTCACCAGTGCAGGCACAGCTTCCGGCCCTCTCCGTCCCGTGGCACCTTCCACCAGCACTCCATGATGACGGTGTTCTGTGACAGAGGCTGAAGTCACACTCCTGCTGGCGGTTGCTCCCCACTGCCCCTTCACAGCAGAGCTCTCCCTGAGGCTGCCACCATGTTCCCAGAGCAGAGGGAAAGCCTGTCCACTGATTTTTTAATAAAGGTTTTATTTTATTATTTTTTAAAGTTTATTTATTTATTTTGAGAGAGGGAGGGAGAGAATGTAAGTGGGGGGGAGCAGAGAGAGAGGGAGACACAGAATCCCACACTGACAGTATGGAGCTCCATGCGGGGCCCCATGCGGGGCTTGATGGGGGGCTTGAACTCACCAACCATGAAATCATGACCTGAGCCCAAGTCAGACGCTTACTGGACTGAGACACCCAGGTGCCCCAAAGACTTTATTGTTTTTAGGGGGTGCCTGGGTGGCACAGTCAGTAGAGCATGTAACTCTTAATCTTGGGGCTGTGGGTTTGAGCCCCACACTGGGTATGGAAATTACTTACTTTTTTTTTAAAATTTTTTTAGCGTTTATTTATTATTGAGAGACAGAGAGAGAGAGAGAGAGAGAGAGAGAGAGAGAGAGAGACAGAACATGAGCAGGGGAGGGGCAGAGAGAAGGAGACACAGAATCTGAAGCAGGTTCCAGGCTTTGAGGTGGCAGCACAGAGCCCAACGCGGGGCTCGAACTCACAAACTGCGAGATCATGACCTGAGCTGAAGTCAGACACTCAACTGACTGAGCCACCCAGGCGCCCCTTACTTTTTTTTTTTTAAATATTAAAAAATACTAGAGGGACCTCTCTCTCAACAATAAATAAACTTAAAACATCTTTAAAAAGATTTTAAAAAATAGTTTATTTTTCTTAGAGAAGTTTTCATTTCACAGTGAAATTTAGAGAAAAATATAGACACTTCCCAAATACCCCCTACCCCCACATATGCATAGCCTCATTTATTATCAACATCCCCCACCAGAGTGGTACATGTGTTATAATCCATG